ATAACCGTTGAAAAGTTTTGTCTCGTTACTTGATCTCTAAATGTTTGTTTTTTGCAATTTTTGGCGTATGCGATCTTGAAGCATATATAAACAAGTTTGACAGTTAGATCGTTGAAATTAGTTTCGTAGGATGCGTATCCCATCAAAACGATAGATTCACTAACACTTAAGAGTTTATTTATACTTTCATTAAGTATAACATAATATTTTGTGGTGTCCACTAGTATAAATATTTTAAATTGAAGATCGAATTCATTCATTGTATTCATATAGGGTCAAGGAGTGTAGCTGTAAAAAATCATCAAAATCGGAGTTAAAATAACCGTTAAATCGTGATTTTTCGTTTATAACCGTCAAAATTTTTTGTCTTGTTACTTGATCTCTGAATGTTTGTTTTTTGCAATTTTTGGTGTATGCGATATCGAAGCATATATAAACAAGTTTGACGGTTGGATCGTTGAAATTAGTTTTGTAAGATGCGTATCCCATCAAAATGTTAGATTCACTAACACTTGAGAGTTTATTTATACTTTTATCAAGTATAACATAAGATTTTGTGGTATCCACCAATGTAAATATTTTAAATTGAAGATCGAATTCATTGATTATATTCATATAGGGTCAAGGAGTATAGCTGTAAAAAATCATCAAAATCAGGGTTAAAACAACCGTTAAATCGTGATTTTTCGTTTATAACCGTTGAAATGTTTTGTCTCATTTCTTGATCTTTAAATATTTTTTTTTTGCAAATTTTGGCGTATTCAATCTCGAAGCATATATAAACAAGTTTGACGGTTGGATCATTGAAATTTGTTTCATAGGATGCGTATCCCATCAAAACGATACATTAACTAACACTTCGAGTTTCTTTGGGTTAAATATTAGGCAGGAAATGGATGGATATAGGCTGCAAAATTTCCCAAACATTAGGCGGGAAATGGATGAAACTCTTAAAATATTAGGTGGGAAATTAATTATTATAATTTTTTTATGTGTTTGGTATTTTTATGTTACTTGATATTTTTATTTTTAATGTGTTTTATGATTTTTAATCTCAATCTTTGCCTATAATATACTATAAAAATAAATAAATAAATAAAACTTAAAATTTAATGTTTATATATAATAATAATTAATAAGCAATATATACATATTCATTATATCTATTGCATTTTATAGTAAGCTTTTTTTAGTAGTTTAAAAAAATTAAAATCATCAAAATAACATTTTTCTTATCGTGTCGAAACAGGTTACCTGCATGTCACTCTCGTGTAAACCTGTTAAGGACCCGTTATTAACGGGTTATTATCGTGTGACCCGATAATGACCCGATTAGTTATCGTGTTGACCCGAAACCCGTTATTTTCGTGTCGTTTACGTGTCGTGTTAACGGGTCGTGTAAGAAATTGCCAGGTCTAGTTAGGACTACGAAAAGTAGACAAATTCATTATCTACGCAATATAATCGTCCTTGCAATCATTTTATGATAGGGTTAGCAATCAATAATATTTCAACTTCTATTTCACTAAACTAAATTGTGAAACTATAAGAACCATGCATTGGATTTTTTTGGAGAGAGCTCATCAAAGTTGAAATCAAACCACCTACTGAAGTACAGCCTTTTTCTCCATGGATATGATATATTCAAGTTACTTTGTAATTGTATGGGAATACAGCAGATTTACTTGAATTTAGTAATGTCTGGAAGAGTGCTTGTTTGATTTAATGTGTGTTCATATCTTTCCTCAAGGATTAATCAATAATCATTTTTCACAGCTTTAGACCTTGAAGACTAGTGCAGATCCCGAACACCCTATACGACTGATCAGCACTTACTTGGTTGAGGTTGACACAATCTTATCCAATTGACAGGGGAAAGGTACCCCTCTATCCATACCAAAAGCAAATGATGTTTCAGTGATTGCCAGTTTCATGGCTTGAATGAATCATGTCTTATCCTTGGTATTGTATCGAAAGAACCATACACTAGAAGGCCGGATGAAACCATTGCATGGATCGTTTGGATGAAACAAGGGGTGATAGTAGGCTTTAGTTATAAAGCGTGGATTTATTGATAAGTTTTAATTATATTGTTAATTTCATTTCGTACTTGATGGTAATTATACAATAGAGTAAAAAAAATAATTAAAATTGAAGTTTAAGTTAGGTGTAGAAAAAGGTTATTTGAGTTCAAATAAAAATTTTCCCTTCAAAATACAGCTATATGGTCCGAAAGAGAGCTCGCTCACTCTACTCACTCACTCACTCTCCCTCCAAAAATGGCTCTCGTAAAACCCCTCACGAAATTCAGCAATGGCGCCCCCAGATTCGGAAGCAACCCCGGCAGTCCCAAGACAGGAGGTTGTCAACGCTGAGGATGTCGGCCAGCGCAGAGACGGCAGCTCCAGCGATGAAAAAGCCGGCCAAGAAGGCCCCGAAAACTCCCCCAAAGGAGACCCTTTTGGTGCTGAGATTCTGCACAATAGACTTTGACGAGATGTAGACATTGTTCAACAGGGAGATCAACAAGAACTTGAACGAGGCGGAGTTCGAGGTGCTGCTGCAGGAGTTCAAGACTGACTGCAACCAAACACACTTTGTTAGGAACAAGGAGTTCAAAGAGGCTGCTGATAAACTGCAGGGCCCGCTCTGCAAGATCTTTATCTAGTTTTTGGAAAGGTCCTGCACTGCTGAGTTCTCCGGCTTCCTTCTTTACAAAGAGCCCGGAAGAAGGCTTAAGGCTTGTTGCTTGCTTGTTTTTCTTTCAAAATCAAAGTATATGAATTTAAAGTTTTGTGTTTAAGACATCGGAAAATTGACGAAGTTAAATAGAACTTATATCGAATAGTTTCAGTTTTGATTTGTGCCGAGGCATTTTGGCATTAGTATCTGTGTGGTTAGCATTGATCTGTTGAACTTGTTCTCAAATAACGAAAAATTGAAATGAATTCATTGCAGAAAACAAATCCAGTTGTGGCAGAGATATTCTCGCTCATGTCTCGAGACGAACCCCGGCATGCCGGTTTTCTAAACAAGGGGCTGTCGGATTTCAATTTGGCATTGGACTTGGGGTTTTTGACAAAGGCGAGGAAAGTACAGTCTTCAAGCCAAAGTTTATCTTCCATGCTACTTACTTGTCTGAGAAGATTGGGTACTGGAGATACATTACCATCTACCAGCATCTCAAGGAGAACCTTGAGTACCAGTGCTACCCCATTTTCAAGTACTTCGAGAACTGGTGCCAGGACGAGAACCGCCATGGCGATTTCTTTTCTGCCCTCATGAAGGCCCCGCCTCAATTCCTCAATGACTGGAAGGCTAAACTCTGGTCCCGATTCTTCTGCTTATCGGTAAGCAAGGAATGAATGTGCTGTGTTTCGCTTGGCTCTGCGTTGTTACAGAATCACTCAATTTCCGAATAACTTATCAACTAGAGTTCTTCTACCCCTTGCTGGTGTATGTGACAATATACCTCAACGATTGCCAGCAGACAGCTTTCTACGAAGGCATCGGCCTCAACACTAAAGAATTTGATACGCACGTTATCACTAAGGTCAGCCTGCAATTCGGTTCCATATTTATTGGCATTATCCATATCTGCTGTTTCTTATGATCATTTTCTTTCTGTTTCGCTACACAGACAAATCGCACCACAGCACGAATATTCCCAGCTGTGCTTGATGTTGAAAACCCAGAACTCAAAAGAAAACTGGACCGCATGGTGCAAATTAACCAGAAGCTGATTGCCGTCGGGGAGAGTGACGACATTTCCTTGGCGAAAAACTTGAAAAGGGTACCGATTGTTGCTGCTTTGGCGTCGGAGCTTCTTGCCGCTTACTTGATGCCTCCCATTGAGTCCAGCTCTGTTGATTTTGCAGAATTTGAAACCCAGCTAGTCTACTGATCTTTTTGTACGGCCTTCCGTCCCTCTCAAAGCCAAGATGATATTGTTCATGTTTTGTTATGATACAACCCATTGTTTCAGTGCACTTGCTTCATAACCTTTCATTTTCTTTTGTAAAAATGGCTTCATAACCTTTCATTAATATTCCTCTTACTTTATATTTTAGCAGAAAACCTCACTGAAGCAATTTTCATTCACGTTACTACGTTAAAGTAAATCAAACGGAGAAAAAAAAAAAGTTTAAAACCTATTTGCTAGTATTTTTAGTCTCATCGCCCGGAAAGGAACATGAGAATTACATTCCGAAACTAGTAATATTTTTGTCAAACCAAAACCAACTCATTTGCTAATTTTCGGCTTGCATTTCAAAACCTTATTTATCTGCTGCGTCAGTTTGGGTTGGTTTTTTGAGCTCAGTGTTTGTGTACCAGCCACATTTCCATATTCATCCCATTTACTATGGCGCTAGACGACTTGTCATGGCCCCAATTAGTTCCTAGCTGTTTGGAAATTAAGATAGTGCGTCCAAACCTGCTTAGGCTTGAGCCTTGACTGCCTAAGTCGCAACTCTCACTAAGATAGAAAATCGATAACTTTCATTTTGCATTTTATTTTGTCAATAAAATGTAAGAGCTTGTTAAATACTTTGATAAACACTTATTATATGCTTCCACCCATGTTTGCAATAAGTTCTAATACTTTATCATCTGTATGTCATCTTATTTTGCAATTGATGTATCACAATACAATTATGTGCTTTTTTAAGTATAAACAAATACTTATTCACACAATATATAAAATTTACTTAAATCTACCCAGTTTGCATGGCTGCCTAGACGCCAGACCCCAGCTAGCCACCCGACGAACGCCTAGGTCTTTAGAACCTTTGACCCTATTTTTTCCCAAGGAGTTTTTTTATAACAGCTGGGAATGAAATTAGGGGACAGGAAGGGAGGGGAGTAGAGGGAGATAATCCGAGTCCCTTAGTAAGCACTTGTTTTGATGCAGGCTTTCAAAAGTAAAAATCAAAACCAAATCGTTTCCCTACACTACGGTTCAATTTCAAACCTGAAACTGTTTCAAAACTGCAAAACTGAACCGTTTGGTGCAGTTCGATTTGGTATGTGTTTAGGTTTCGGTTTTCTGTTCCAAACCTCAAAGCACATAGGATGATAACTCGTAACAAATGGTTCTAACATAGTTTATCAAAATCATTATCACAACACAAGGGAAACGTAACGAACCACTGTATCCTCTCCAACGTAACTCGGGAGCAAGTCAATCCAGATCTCAAATGATTATGTCCCAATACCCTACAATGCGAACATAATCGGAAAACCAGCAAATTTCCAAGTCATGAGGAGGGCAAATTAAATTCAAAAAACAGTCACAACCATTGAACATTAAATTGCTACGGACACCATCCCTTGCAGATTTCTGCATTATTGTAAACAGCAGGACATTTTACAACAATCATGAACCGGGATTTTATAACGGGACATTGTAACTGTATGAACTCTCCTTCGCCAAAATCTTCAAATCGACCAACTAGTGTAACTACATTAAGAAACAACTAACCGTGTACTCATTCTCTGACTGCCATTACTGCTGAAACAAAAGACCCTTCACGAGATGCAATAGCCCTAGAAGAGAATGTTGTAGCCAAACCTGTTATTAAGGGACGAAGGTCAAGTAGAAAATAGAATAAGAATGATAATCCAAAAAGAGAATAAATAACACCAAAAATTATACTAAACATGACAGCATGTGCACAAAGTTAAGAGATGTTGGGGGAATAACATAGGAGATCGTTTTTGTCCACTATGTTGTCAGTGGCATTTTGAAGAGCATTTCGTATCACACAGCACCTAAAACCAGCATCGATAAGAACACGTGATTTTGTGGCATTTGATAAAACTTCAATTAGAAATTGTCCAGTCCACATTGCATTACCCTTCCATTTGATAATCGTGTATCTTTTCTTTACGCTGAGAATAGAGCATCTGGATTCAATAGAAAGCTCAAATATTTTATGGTTTCTCGGCATACTTTTTGTTATTGATAGAAGAACCAGTTAACTCACGTGCAAGTAGACAACTAAAATAATCATTTTTTTTTACACCAAAATACTCACTTAGAGGTTAAAAGCATAAGAATCCTAGCCCCCCCCCCCCCCCCCAGAAAACAAAAAAACAATAAAAAATAAATTAAAATGATGCAATATGGAAATCGAATAAAAGGTACAAACCTTTATGCTTGTAAAACAGGTGATGGTTTTAGGATTTTTTATTTCCACAATCAGTTTCCTCATTTGCTCCATCAAAGGAAGTGGTGCTATGGACCGATGCTTGCAATTCATCTCCCAGAGGTGTGCTTCGCATAGAATATTTCACCGCATCCCTTGTAGCAACACTTTCTGTAATTTTATCTCCATCTGCCGAGTATTGCACAGATTCTTTTACTTCTGGCTGAACGGGAAAAAGGGGGTCAAAAGCAGGCCCGCGTTGTTCCCCTGCATCCTTCAAATCATCCTCCAAATCATCATAGTCAAAATTCCGCAAAATGTTTGGAAGTGATAAACCATTGTCCTCCGCATGCCTAGTTCCCATTTCAATATCTATTTTCTCCTTTGAGCTCATAGTACCTTCCCCGTGATTTGGAGTCCCAGATCCTGCAATCATCTGTTCATCCATCTCAATGAATGATCTGAATCTATTCATTGAAGGAGGGATTTTGGAGAAAAAAACTTCTTTGACATTCCAAATCATTCCTTTGTTATACGGGTTCTCCTTCTTATCATATCGGTACCGGAAGTTTTCATATGTTGTCTGTAACAAAACATGAATCACAGTACTAAGCATATTCCAAATAAACTAAATGAAAATTGCACAAAATAATTCACTCCATGATGCCAGTAGACTACACTTTGTTATCACAATGGTAACCACACAAGCAATATGCCCTCAGACATAGATTCAAAGATACCAATGGAAAAAAAAGAAAGAAAAAAAAATGTTGAAATTTTTTGTTTCATTCCATCAATCAGAAAGAAAATTTTTGTTAGACAATTATTCCCTACTCATTGAAACTATGTTCTTTGATTATTCATCAATATTTTAAAACTAAGTTTTGATATGCATCCTTGGCCCAAATGCCAGCAGCTAATTTTTCCGTAGGTAAGAAATCTTAAGAGTGACAGAAAACCACTCAGGTTATATAATTTGAATCGTTAGTTTCAAAAAGTTACCTGGTTTGTGCATATCAAGTAGGAATGGAAGATTGTAAGGCCACCAACAAACCAGATAGCGATAAAACAGTATGCTAAAAGGATATCTGAAAGGATATCATTGGCAAAAGCTTTCGGAAGACTGCCATGTTGAACTATGTTTATCCAAGAGAAGACAAAAACATATATGCACAGTATGGTTGAGGTTGATATGAACATGAAGAAGAACGGATAGTTACGCTGCAACCAAACATAGAAGAGGACAGTTACTTTCTTAGTAGACAAAATAATCAATTATTATATAACGATTTGAGCACCGAATAAATTGCAACCATCCGACTTGATAATCCATACAAGTTTATTGCATTATAATTGCTTCAAAACAAATTACTTGTGGTTCACATGCTTGCAATATTCATGTTAAACATTGGATGGCTGACTTGGAGAGCTCAAGGTCACTGTCAAAAAAAGAAAGAGTCGGGCCATTTACAGGTGATACTATGGCCTCGTTTGTTTGAAATTTCTCTTAAAATGACTGAAAGCTCTTTTAGAGAAAATGTTTTTGGGTTCAAAAAACACTTTGAAGTGCTTCCTGCAAGAAGCACCGTTACTTTTAGTAAGGATTGGTCCCAAAAACATTTTCACCAAAAGTGCTTTCAGCCATTTCAAAAGCACTTCCAAACGAGCCTTATATCCAGTAAACTTACATATAAAATACCATTATGTTCGAAAGAGCAACTCACTAGCAAAAGTATCAAAGGGCTGAGTAATGCATCCCAAAGCAAAGATATAGTATATGTAAGAATTCCACATATCTTACCTTCAATATAATAACTTTATAAGTGGGATCCCTTTAGGACCTACTCCAACGTTTAGAAACTACTATTTTCTAAAGATACAGGAAATCCCATGCCCTGCATAAGGAGACCTAAGTCCTCGTAGCCTAACCCAATGGGCCAACACAATAACGTAAATTACAATTATAGTAACTACCCCATTCTGCATTATGAAAATTTGAGTGTTCGATTTATAAAGGAATCAGAACTATCATACTATTATTCTCATTTTGAACTTCAAGACTGTTAGTATATAATAGATAAATCTTCTCAGCAAAGTTTCAAGACCATCAAAGTACAACTTTGAAAAGACATATGTAGTGATGTAAGTGCTAATAAGTAAGACCCAAGATATATTGAGAAGCTCAACTACACAGGTACAAAATCGCAGTTAGATACACAATTTTTCAGCTTGTTCCAACAGCAATTCATGACAGATCATGCCTCTAGTCTTTGATAAATTATATTCACTATATTAAGCCAATCAAGTTCAGAAGAGTTGGCAATATACCAATTTCTCATCACAGATGGCATAAACATGGAAAGGTACTCTTTTACCCAGACAAGCTAATAACTTACAATTCCAATGCACTGACCAACCCACGGACAGTGATGATCGAATCTCTGAATGCAATTGTTGCAGATAGAACAGTGAGATACACGGGGAGGACGATAAAGCAAACAAGTATCACAATACTTCACTTTTACTGTGTGACCATTTACAATCACATCTCTTGTTCGAGGTAGCTTCAAATGAGGAGTTCTTTCATTAACCCACTCCATGGATGGGGTAGCTAGATCAAATGCTTCATCTGATTCTGGAGGCCTTGAATTTCGAGGGATTATTCCAGGATCTCTACCAGAAGTCAAGAAGAGAAAGGTTAAATCCTGCACAGAAACAAGCTAAATGTCAGATGATGTTTAAATGCTAGAAGAATCAGAATTGTAAGAATAGGGTGTTAAACTAGTTTTCATGTGACAAAAATTATTTAGCCATTATCAAGATAATGCTGTCATCGGAATGCAATCCAAGTGCCTGCTGGCTCAGATCCACGACCACAACAAGAAGGAAAGAGATTCCATGCACCAAAAGTTTTAACATGTTAACATCACTGCAATATGCACAAAACTGATATTGTACATGTAATAGAAAAGAATCCACAATACAAAAGAAAAGAAAACACATTCCAAGGCTGATTAGAAAATTGGTCTTCTGTTATCATTTGAGGATTATGTACTTCTTGCTTGTAAGTTCCTTCAAATTTTAGTGCATTGTCTAAGGAAATAATCTCGCATGATGTAATCCATTATAAGATTTGAGCTTAATAATCTAATTAACCATATCCTTGATAACATCTCTAGTGCTCTCTTCCCAAGTGTGACGCTACTTTCACCCTTCAATAATTGAAGTTTATATTGACTCAGACTGGATTATTAAGTAGTTTTAATGATGGAGGCAGAAAAAACAATGGTAAAAGTATTGAGCCATCAAATGTCAGCGTGCAGTTTTGATCATATAGAATGCCACTATAAGAAAAGTCAAAACTCATACTTCCTTCTCAAGACCCAGGTTTCACAGGACAACCACAAGTAACGTCATTTCTGGTAAAACGGAGGACAATATAAATAGTTGTTCAGTATTTAGTTTTGATGTTGTAATAATTGATTTTTCCTTTACTTTCAAGACGGGAATTATCCTATGGATGCTGCAATTAATTCGAATGCAAGAATTTGAGTTTCAATAATGACTTGGCCAAATTTGGTAAACTACTAAAGTCGTAAGTTATCTCATAAGAAATACCAAAATAGGCCACACGAATAGCCATATATAACAATGACCTCTTTTGATACAGGAATAACATACCAATTACTGATAGCAATAAACAAAAATACATAATAAATAATAACAGCCTTACCAATATTGTAAGAACTGAGCCAATAACTAACACAGGAAGCCATAGACTCTCATTCTTGTTCTTCTCATCTTTGATTTTAAGATAAACCTTCAAACAGAAGGCAACTGCTGGGCCAGCAATAAGGAGTGTAGACAGAAGAAGAGATGCCACATCAGGACCAAAAATTAATCTCCCGCCACAGAAAAAGTTCTGACAAAACCAATAAAAATCCCCATCAGTGCAAGTACACCAAACTGGATTGGACTTTTAGCAATATTCCACCAGTCATACTACTGGTATAGTGGTATATCATAAACAGAAAGAATAGTCCATAAAATTTTCAGTTAGGAAAGTATTTCAAGTCATGATCAATTGTGCCACATCAAGTACCAAACAATAATTTCAATATTATGCAACTTGAAAAGATACGTGCATTCATATATCCACAGATATAAGGGAAAGGGGGAAATATGCAGCTGATACAATAAATACAAGTATTTTGTTAGTGTTTAGATTTAAATTTTGTTTTCCTTGTTCTTCACTGATATAGAGGTACAACAAATCAATTTCAAAAGCCATATTTTTTTTTCTGACTACATTTTTTTAAGCCTACTGATGAAGCATATATGACACTACAATCAATCAACCATCCGCAGGGGAGGTAGGTTTGATATTGGGAAGGCCTTGTTTGGTCTCTAAGAGTAAATTGGAATGGATAACCAAACATATTGAAGGTATTTTGAAGAACGAAATGAAAATTTGTGTCCAACTTGAAGGTAGACGATGGATTAATTATTAAGGAAACTTATCCATTAGAATCACCCTAAGACTGGGAGGATTAGAAGGGAGAAGTTTCCTTCATCCCTTCAAAATGAAAAACCATTCACCACTACCTTTAATATACCTTGAATTTTATAAGTTATCCGCTCCAACCAATCATAGAGACCAAACGAGGCCTAAAAGTATAGGATCTCAATACATGGTTACACTCTATAGGTTCTAAAGGTGTTGAGAAATTGGATGGGGGCAGAGGTTATTCCAGGCCAATTAATAGCTCTGCCCCTGCTACGATACGAAATATTACATTATCGATTTTTCAGTACATATGTAGTTGGTGGGCAAATTCTTGCTCAGAACAATAAAAATTCACTCGATAAGAAGTAATCACAGTGGCGCAAACACATGAATGAAAGAAAGTAAACACAACCTGATTAACATGAACTCGAAACGCTGGACCTTGACCTAGAAGATACTTATCTGTTCAATCAAGTAAAGCTAGTGTAGCTAGAAAAAGGGAGTATCTTAAGGGAAACCAACTGCTGCAACTCAAATATAAAGACGAAAACACACAAAAGAAAGAGGAAATGAAAATCAATCACAAAGGGAATTAACATAAAGTCATAATCTCATCCTCTTCTTTCAATTGGAACAAAAGAAGGAACACAAAATGATAAAGCAATTGAATTGATGTTGATCAAAAAGCAGTCAGAAGTGAAAAACAGTGAACCCAATTGAGAGAGAGAGAGAGAGAGAGAGAGAGAGAGAGAAACTCACATTGCTTCCTTTCCAAACTTGGTAGAGCCTCTTGGGTTTATTCTGTGCCATACCCAGCTGCCTAAAAATGCTGTATTCTCTCAACTCCAAAACCCTCCCCCCATCACAAACTCCACTTCCTTCCCTGCACTACAAAGTCACCAGCACCAGAAGAGAGAAAACCCACCAAGGAAAACCAATTTCTTCAAACAATCACGGACATGCAAATGAGCAATTGAGGAGTGAGAGAGAGGCTTCTGGGTTTGGGATGAAATTCAAAACCAGCTGCCTCTCTGCTCACAACTATTTATTTTGTGGTTTCTGAGACGGATTGTACCAAGAGAGACGAGCAAAGATTTTCTCTCTCCCCCTCCCTCCGTATCTTTCTCTCTCTAACTTCTCCTCCCTAACACGCTGCCAACGATGACATCCGGGCGGATCTTCCAACTTTCTCGCGGCTTTGCCGCTCTTAACCAACATTTTTCATTTTCATTTCCCAGTTTTTTTTTTTTTTTATTATTAATTAAAAATTAATATTAAGTACTTAACATCTCTCACCATTTTAGTGTTATTCTAAATTAATCTCAACTGTTTTTCATATTCCAAACAAGTACTCAATTTATTAAAAATGTCACATCGTTAAGTCGCAATTAAAAATCTTTTACGTTAACTAGGAGTTACTTTGTTATCAAAATAATTAGGAGGTTATAAAAGTATAGCCTTCACCAACTAACCATCACCACCACCCCCATCATGTTATCTCCTCCAAACCCAACGTAAAACCAACAACTCCCACCCTTCAACTCAAGTCGTCAACATTGAGAAGAAGGTTATAGAGGTTGCTGAAATGGTATGTGACTGTCATGATGCAGCCACCACCATCTTTGCTGCCCACAAAGAAGAAACGGAAACTTTATGAACTAAGAATTGGTGTATGTGGAAAACACGAGCATAAACAATCTCCTTGAAACCCTATCTGAATTCTTAACTCCCTCCTTTATTAGAAGATTGCCCTTCTAATGTAATTTTAATTTGGATCCATTTTTGATTCAATACAATACCCGTTTGATCATTGAGTTTCATATTATATAATTCATATTTGAAATTTAGATTTTGAGGTAACTAGTATTAATGTTGACCATAATATATCTAGTTGGTGGGTTTTCAATATCTATGTTTGAAAAATCAATTGGGACTCAACGGATGTAACATTTTTAATAGGTTGAGTATTTGTTTGGAATGTTTAAAAAATTGAGATCAATTTAAAATGACACTAAAAGACTAAGAGTTTTCAACACTTAACCTTAAAAATTAATAGCTAGTTATTTTGTTTTGTGTTATGTTAAATTCTTTACATGTATATTTTTTTAATATTATATTCACTAGCTAATTTGGCAAAATCGAAAAATACCACGTGTGACGAGTTGCCTATCCAGAGTCCAGTACACAAAGTCAAATGGAGGTTGCTGAAATGGTATGTGGCTGTCATGATGCGGCCACCATCATCTTCACTACCCACAAAAAAGAAATGAAAACTTATGAGCCTCAAAATTGGTGCATGTGGAAAACATATGAGCTAAACAAGCTCCTTGAAACCCTATCTGAATTCTTAACTCCCTCCTTTATTAGAAGATTGCCCTTCTAATGTAATTTTAATTTGGGTCTATTTTTGATTCAATTCAATATTCGTTTGAACATTGAGTTTCATATTATATAATCTATATTTGAAATTTAGATTTCAAGGCAACTAGTATTAATGTTGACTATAAGATATCTAGTTAGTGGGCTTTCAATATCTATGTTTGAAAAATCAACTAGGACTTAACGGATGTGACATTTTTAATAGGTTAAATATTTGTTTGGAATATTCAAAAAAATTAAGATCAATTTAAAATGACACTAAAAAACTAAGAGTTTTCAGTACTTAATCTTAAAAATTAATAGCTAGTTATTTTGTTTTGTATTCTGTTAAATTCTTTATTTGTATATTTTTTAATATTATATTCACTAGCTGATTTGACAAAATCAAAAAAATACCATGTGTGACGGGTTGCCTATCCATAGTCCAGTACACAGGAGTCGAACCAACGTGCTGTGCTGTCACAACTCACAACCTACTTCTTTTTTTTATATTTTTTCCATCCTAGTCGTGCATTACAATCTTCTTCCTTGTGTGTTTCCCCTTTCTTTATGCATTTTTTATAATTTCATTGTTGGTTGGTATTAAAATGCTGTCAACATTTTCATTATACCTTTTTGGGTATGTTTCTCATTGACATTTAACATAATCGTTTCAGTTGTCTATTTTTTTATTCTTTTTACGCATCAAATTTGCTAAAAATCAACAAAACAAGAACTTCGCAAATGGCTTCTACCACAGAGGTAGCTCTTCTGGTATCACGGTGTGAGTTATAATTCTATTAGTTTTCTAATCTAACATATAAACTAGACCTGGCAATTTCTTACACGACCCGTTAACACGACACATAAACGACACGAAAATAACGGATTTCGGGTCAACACGATAACCAATCGGGTCATTATCGGGTCACACGATAATAACCCGTTAATAATGGGTCCTTAACAGGTTTACACGAGAGTGACACGCAGGTAACCTGTTTCAACACGATAAGAAAAATGCTAATTTGATGATTTTAATTTTTTAAACTACTAAAAAAAACTTACTATAAAATGAAATAGATATAATGAATATGTATATATTGTTTATTAATTATTATTCTATTATTATCCTATATAAATTTTAAAATTTAAGTTTTATTTATTTATTTATTTTTATAGTATATTATAGGCAAAGATTGAGAATAAAAATCATAAAACACATTAAAAATAAAAATATCAAGTAATTTTAAAATACCAAACACATAAAAAAATTATAATAATTAATTTCCCGCCTAATATTTCAAGAGTTTCATCCATTTCCCGCCTAATGTTTGGGAAATTTTGCAGCCTATATCCATCCATTTCCCGCCTAATATTTAACCCAAAGAAACTCTAAGTGTTAGTTAATGTATCGTTTTGATGGGATACGCATCCTATGAATCTAATTTCAATGATCCAACCGTCAAACTTGTTTATATATGCTTCGAGATTGCATACGCGAAAATTTGCAAAAAACAAACATTCAGATATCAAGTAACGAGACAAAACTTTTCGACGGTTATAAACGAAAAATCATGATTTAACGGTTATTTTAACTCTAATTTTGAAGATTTTTTACAGCTACACTCCTTGACCCTATATGAATACAATGAATGAATTCGATCTTCAATTTAAAATATTTACACTAGTGGATACCACAAAATCTTATGTTATTCTTGATGAAAGTATAAATAAACTCTCAAGTGTTAGTGAATCTATCATTTTGATGGGATACGCATCCTACGAAACTAATTTCAATGATCCAACAGTCAGACTTGTTTATATATGCTTCGAGATCGCATACGGTAAAAATTGCAAAAAACAAACATTCAAAGATCAAGTAACGAGACAAAATTTTTCGACGGTTATAAATGAAAAATCACGATTTAACGGTTATTTTAACTCCGATTTTGATGATTTTTTACAACTACACTCCTTGACCCTATATGAATACAATGAATGAATTCGATCTTCAATTTAAAATATTTACACTAGTGGATACCACAAAATCTTATGCTATACTTGATGAAAGTATAAATAAACTCTTTTTAAGTGTTAGTGAATCTATTGTTTTGATGGGATAGACATCCTACGAAACTAATTTCAATGATCCAACCATCAAAATTGTTTATATATGCTTCGAGATCACATACACCAAAAATTGCAAAAAACAAACATTCAAAGATCAAGTAATGAGATAAAACTTTTCGACGGTTATAAACAAAAACTCACGATTTAACGGTTATTTTAACTCCGATTTTGATGATTTTTTACAGCTACACTCATTGACCTTATATGAATACAATGAATGAATTCGATCTTCAATTTAAAATATTTACACCAGTGAATACCACAAAATTTTATGTTATACTTGATGAAAGTATAAATAAACTCTTAAGTGTTGGTGAATATATCGTTTTGATGGGATACACATCCTACGAAATTAAATTCAATGATCCAATCGTCAAAGTTGTTTATATATGCTTCGATATCGCATACGCTAAAAATTGCAAAAAACAAACATTCAAAGATCAAGTAACGAGACAAAACTTTTCGACGGTTATAAACGAAAAATCACGATTTAACGGTTATTTTAACTCTGATTTTGATGATTTTTTACAGCTACACTCCTTGACCCTATATGAATACAATGAATGAATTCAATCTTCAATTTAAAATATTTACACTAGTGGATACCTTAAAATCTTATGTTATACTTGATGAAAGTATAAATAAACTCTTAAGTGTTAGTGAATCTATCGTTTTGATGGGATAGGCATCCTACGAAACTAATTTCAATGATCCAACCATCAAACTTGTTTATATATGCTTTGAGATCACATACACCAAAAATTGCAAAAAACAAACGTTCAGAGATCAAGTAAGGAGACAAAACTTTTCGACGGTTATAAACGAAAAATCACGATTTAACGGTTATTTTAACTCCGATTTTGATGATTTTTTACAGCTACACTCCTTGACCTTATATGAATACAATGAATGAATTCGATCTTCAATTTAAAATATTTACACTAATGAATACCACAAAATCTTATGTTATACTTGATGAAAGTATAAATAAACTCTTAAGTGTTAGTGAATCTATCGTTTTGATGGGATACGCATCCTACAAAACTAAATTCAACGATCCAACCGTCAAACTTGTTTATATATGCTTCGAGATCGCATACGCTAAAAATTGCAAAAAACAAACATTCAAAGATCAAGTAAGGATCAAAACTTTTCGACGGTTATAAACGAAAAATCACGATTTAACTGTCATTTTAACTCCGATTTTGATGATTTTTTACAGCTACACTCCTTGACCCTATATGAATATAATGAATGAATTTGATCTTCAATTTAAAATATTTACACTAGTGGATAAATCTTATGTTATACTTGATGAAAGTATAAATAAACTCTTAAGTGTTAGTGAATCTATCATTTTGATGGGATACGCATCCTACGAAACTAATTTCAACGATCCAACCATCAAACTTGTTTATATATACTTCGAGATCATATACACCAAAAATTGCAAAAAACAACCATTCAGAGATTAAGTAATGAGACAAAACTTTTCGACGGTTATAAACAAAAAATCACGATTTAACGGTTATTTTAACTCCGATTTTGATGATTTTTTACAGCTACACTCCTTGACCTTATATGAATACAATGAATGAATTCGATCTTTAAGTTAAAACATTTACACTAGTGGATACCACAAAATCTTATGTTATACTTAATGAAAGTATAAACAAACAAGTGTTAGTTAATGTATCATTTTGATGGGATACGCATCCTATGAA